TACGCATTAGATTGATTATAAAAATAAATTGTGGGAGGATGTGCACTGGCACATTCACTAACTGGACACCTGCAACAGTCTACCGCAAAATGTAGAAGCATGCCTATCTCACTGTACGGCTCCTGGCTTCCCCTGCTATTATTTCTTTTTTTTTATTACAGAGAACAAATCTTGTCCCATAAAATAGTTGCGTGTTTTTGAAATCATTGATTCAGAACAGCACGTTCAATTCTTGAATAACGGTGTTGTAAGGAGCAGTGTGCTATGCAATATCATTTAAGGGTCCTTTCATTTCGAACAGTACATTACTGCACAAAAATACTTCATTCACGGACAACAATGAAAACAACAACAACACAAACAACCGCGCCTCCTTGACAATTAATTTTTCGGAATCCTGCGCAAAACACATCGAATGTCAACCCTCTTCTGATATAAAAGACGGAGTTGGTTAAAACAGAATTATTTTTAGCACACATCGAAATTGCACAAACGCATTTCAGTAGTTGAAGTCATAAGGTGGGAAGCGATTATCAACTGAATTGGCTTAAAACAACAATAAAATGCAGCTGAGCTGTCCATGAATTCGATTAAGACAATGCATTCCATTTAAGATTGATTAATTTGTAGTACTCGTTACGTGTACGCATTTACAGGGTCTCTTTATTTTGCTGGTCGTTCACTGCAAGAACATTATTATCGTACGCTACTTTATGGCCAGTACTTGTCTTGTTCTGGTCATCTTTATTCCAGAATTTCTACTTCCGCGAAATTTTCATGCACTTCAGTCATTTTCAGGCGTAACATCACCAAGCAACAGTTTTGGGAAATTCACCCAACTGTTCGCAATTTCCTCCAGCGTCGCATCGACAGCATCAATAGCGTGACGCAGCATGAACTCTGTTTCTTTGGCATCATCAAAATTATCATACAGAGCCTCGATCATCCGCTGTGCAGTTTCAGCATCAGCAAACTTCAACCGTTCTCGACGCACTGCTTCCGTATCATTAGGCAACGGTACTATCAGCTTCTCTAAGGCTTCAGCCTGATCAGCTAGTGCTACATACATCTTCTCGGCAGTTTCTAGATCAGCCACAAGTGCTGCCCCGACAGTCTTAATCAAAGCTTTAGCAACACCGACCTGCTCCTTGATCGCTGTTCCGGCATCATTAAGCTGCACCACTATCAAAGCACAAACATCGAGCAACGGTTTCAGCGTCTGCTGCATACATTTAGCCTTCGAAGACAGCATTTCCAGCCATGCTTCTACAGTATCAACTGGCAATATAGCCAGAGGAGACGTTTCGGTACCTTTGAGCACGCCCTCTCTGATGACCACATCATCAGTCACCCCGACGACCTGTTTACTATGCTCAGATTCAGAACTAGAAAACAGCGCACGTATTTCTGCTTCCTCATCGGCTGATAGTGATGGCGCAGACACTTGCTCTGCTTCCTGAGCGGCCACCTCATCTCCAGCTTTA